TTTTTTTTTTTTTTTTTTAATCTTTAAATAAACTCCAGTTGAGTATGTAGTTTTAGAACATTTCAGTAGTTTAAAATTTAAAATTTAAAATTTAAATTTTAACATAAGAGAAAAGAGTTTGAAAAATGAAAATATTATAATTATAAATATTTTATAATTTAACATACTAGGAAAAATAAATCTTAGGTAGAATATATGTGCATAATTTTGGCAAAAATCTATTTTTAGCTTTTTATTTTAATAAGTTTATAAGTTTTGATTCCTCAACTTATATTATAATACTTTTAACACTTCACTTATATAAATTAAAAAAAATAACCCTTATTTAACGTGAATTTATAATGCTCATCAGTGACTGTTAATATTCCATTAATAGTAGTTCACTATTAATAGTGACAGAAACAGAATTAACGAAATATTAACAGTCAACTGACAAACATTATAAATTGACATTAAATAAGGGCTCTTTTCTTCAATTCATAAAAGTGAAAACTTAAAAGTGTCATAATAAGTCATGATATAAGGTAAAGAGTTAAAACTTATAAACTTATTAAAATAAATAAAAAACTAAAAGTAAGTTTTTGCCAATAGCTTTTCACTAAACACAGCCAAAGTCTACCCAACAGCCGACTGCAAAAAGGAACTTAAGCACTTTTAAGTAATTTAAAACGTTGACCTCATCATGTGCTTAAACCATCTCCTGTTTTTCTAAATCATTCCGATCACCATCTCGCCACTGATTTAGCCCCATGTGAAAAGAAAGATCAGGACTAGTATTAGTTTCCTGTCTTTCCTCATTCATTCATCTTAGCTTTCCTTGGACAATTACAACAAAGATTAGTGCATCCTAACATTTGTTAGCATGGCTGTTTTTATATTGTAAAAACATAAGTATCATCCGCAAGATCATGCTGTCTCTAGTACCCTAAGCACTTGAAACATGGCTAGTCTGGGTCAAGGCATCTAGGTGATCTTGTAAGATACATTTGATTTACCTAAAAGTATGGTACTTCCTCCTTACCCATTTCTTATTTTCTAAATCTTTAAATGGAATCAGTGAATTAAACTAAAGTCAAAGCATACAGGGGACAAAGTGTCAACTTAGAGATAACGCAATAGGCATACAAGATGCTCTATCCAAGATATATGCCAATCTCCCAACTCCCAAAGTACTCAAAACTATGCATGCACACCCTAAATAAGTCAACAATAAACATACATTACGTGATTGAGACGGGTTGCTGCTGTTAACGCCTCAAGCTGATGCATCACAACTCTTTCTTCTACTATAGTTTACTGGTACTGATTATGAGTCTATCCAGAGTTAGTAATGTATCCATTTAGGCTATATTATGCTTTCTACAAGTGCTTTTGTGGCACCTTTTCTCGTTTAGGTTGGTGAGGCTGGTCTGTTTACAACTACATTATTTCTTATTTAGAAATATACGTGACATTCCTATGAAAGAAAAAATAACCACTACAGGTAAACTGATACTTTAGCTTAGACCACCCTTCTAATTTCTGAATGATCCTACCATCCGTCTACTTTGGTTCAATCTCATACTATACCTTCTAGAAGCAAACTAGGTGCCTTACTACAAGCCTTCTTTAAAATCTTAAATTCATGAATGTGAGTCCCTTCCACCGGACCAAGGTATCTTTGGCCCTCACTAGAGCTAGATAATTGATTTATTATCTTCCAACCACCAAACGAATTTCCTTTGTTTCCACAAAAAATTTGGTTTTCATAGTAAATCAGAAAACTGTGCCAATAATTATCACAAAACAAAAGCCCTAAATGACGATTTATTATCCAACCCAACTTTCATCCAACTATCATTCCATTAATCATGGAATTCATTTCATCCTAAATGTCAATTACCTCCATGTAATCATCATCCCACCTAAAAATACAACAAATTACCATTTCAGATTTAAATAAGAATGACCCTCCAAAATTACACGGATATATTAGAAAAGGAAACTGCAAGTTAATTAGTAACCAAGGTAGCTAGGCCTAAGACCAAGGTAAGTGAATATCAGGTTACTTGGTATAGGAAACGAACTAAAGACGTCATAATAAACAGGCAAGAATTTTCTTATACCAAGTCTCATAAGAAAAAGATGGCTCTTACCCTTCCACCCCCAAAAAAAAAAAAAAAGTTACATCAGAGCACAATGATTTTTGAATAACAAAAAGTCAACAATAATTCTGGCACGAACATGTTAAGATCCCGCAAGTAATCTGACAGAAGAAAATTCCTTCATGAGAAAGAAGGCAGTACCTCATTGTATTTTCAGTAACATATTAGTAAGTCCTCAATGGCATGTAACCATACCTGCCAGAGAGTTATGGCAAAGGAACATTTTCATGCACTTAAATCCAAAAAGGACAACATTAGAGGCATTTTTAAATCTAAGCATGATTAAATGGCAGAAGGCATGTCAATATGACAATTTGATGCAATGGATGATTGTAAATAATAAAATGACTCAATTCAAAATTCAAATAATCATCACAACTCTCAAGGAAGGAAAACTTTGTAATACAAGAGATTTATTAAACAATTCTCATCAGCTACTTAACTTTTCTGGAAGTCACATACATGTTAAACTACAAGCATAAAGGATGACATGGAGAACCTCAATCCTAAAAGCATGAAAATTAGACTCAGACAATTCAACTACAAACTACATCCGGAGCCTCTGTAAAAGGCCAGACATTTATAACATGAAAAACGTGCTGGATAGAGAAGGAAACTAGATTTGAGGAATAGATGTTACATCTACCTGATAGTGACAAACTTGTTTGTACCATGCTTAGCCCAATGAGTCCTCAAATCAATTGGATTAGAAAAGTCATAAGCTTCAGATGCAAGTTTTTCTAAAACCTTCTTAAAAGCCCCCACACTCATTTTTCTGCCAGCTATCCTTGCTCCACGACGCTTTGTACTCATGGGCAAGGGATACAATGACATGTTTGTCGTACAACATGCAGATTGCCACCCACCACAGCCCCAACGGTAACACTGTTGAGGTGCCCCAGTACAAGAGCAAACAGGTATAGCAATACCCGAAATGTCAATATCCTGCCCATTTATAACAATTTCTGCAGTCTTCTTTGCAGATCTTACTCTTTGTACAGAAGCATTACTGTTGTCCTTTAGTGCACGAGGTCCTCTCTTACCCTTTTTGGCTTTTGGTGATTTCGGGGATTTTGGCCCTTCCCTTTTCTTATTAGGTACAATATCTCTTTCAACAACAGCCTCTTCCACTTGAGTCACTTGTTCCTCCTTCACCAACTGGGGAGTAGGCTGAACCATCTGTATGTTGTGAACCGAAGTGTCTGCTGAAACAGCATAGTTTGGGTTTCCTGGTTTCACGTTGAGAAACTTGTCTCTATGGTTCATCCAAGTATCCCTTATACACCCCATAGGATAATGAACCTGTGAAGTCCCCATATCTCTATGGTAGAAAGTTCCATATGAACTGGCCAGGACCGTAGCATTGTGTGCACTAAGAAGAGGTTTTTCAGGCATGGAAGACACGAGTTGAAGTCCCAGATGGCTATTAAGAGAAGGTGGCTCATAGTAACCCCAATTACGTATATTCAAACTGTTATCTCCATCCATTTTCTTAATGATAATTCAGAACTTGAATAGAAATAATGTAATACAATCTTTATTTACTTCTCCCACAGCTAACTTGTAGTTTTGCGTTTCACCTAAGAATTTTAGAAAGTTACACAAAGTAAATCCATAGCTAAACTGAAAACAGATAAATGATAAGGAAAGAAGTTGAAACATAGTATAAGGTGATAAAATAGATGGTCAATCTGAGAAATATACATAAAGTGAAAATAAGAACAAAAATATGAAGGGTGCTAAGATGGACTACAGTCTCAACTCTTAAGAACTCAGGTCTCTATACAGGGAGAACTACGAGGACACTATGGGGCAATGAATCATTAAGAAATAGATGCACACTGGGGAAAATTACAAAACTTGCCTATGGAAAACTACAAGGACCATCCTTTGAACCCTCTAAGAAATCTTTGAAATTCTTGCAAGGATGAAGAGGAGAACCAAAAAACCAAAATTAATTCATTAAAGAAGATACAGGTATAATGGCTTTGTTCAATGAACTCTAATTACCCAACGCACAAACTCTTTCAGTTCATTCATCTTTTTTCTTTTTCTTTTTCT